GGTGGTGGCAGCCCATGCATCTGCCAGAGGCCCCAGACAATCAGTCAGAGGCATCAGGGGGTGGGGCCCCTCTGCAGCCAACCGCCTTGCCGGGTGGGCACAGGGGTGCCCCCCGCATGCTTGGCAGTGGACACGGAAGTGAACATGAGCCTGCAATGTGATGCTGCGGCTAGTAAAGCGACCAAAACGCTGGCTTGCATCCATAGATGCTTCTCAAGCAAATCCCGGGACGTCATTCTCCCCTTGTACTCGGCCTTAGTGAGGCCGCAGCTGGAGTACTGCGTCCAGTTTTGGGCTCCACAATTCAAAAAGGATGTGGAGAAGCTTGAGAGAGTCCAGAGAAGAGCCACGCGCATGATCAGAGGTCAGGGAAGCAGACCCTACGACGACAGGTTGAGAGCCATGGGGTTCTTTAGCCTGGAAAAGCGCAGGCTCAGGGGTGATCTGATGGCCACCTACAAGTTTATCAGGGGTGACCACCAGTATCTGGGGGAACGTTTGTTCACCAGAGCGCCCCTAGGGATGACGACTAGGTCAAACGGTCATTAACTACTACAAGACCGTTTCAGGCTGGACATAAGGAAGAATTTCTTTACTGTCCGAGCCCCCAAGGTCTGGAACAGCCTGCCGCCGGAGGTAGTTCAAGCGCCTACATTGAACACCTTCAAGAGCAAACTGGATGCTTATCTTGCTGGGATCCTATGACCCCAGCTGACTTCCTGCCCTTTGGGCAGGGGGCTGGACTCGATGATCTTCCGAGGTCCCTTCCAGCCCTAATGTCTATGAAATCTATGAAAATACTCCAAAACACTCCTGTGGGACGCTCCATCCACCCCAGCATCACAGCATTCACGAGCCACACCTGGTACCTTGAGGTACATAGAAAAGAAACATTCAAAGCTGTGTCTATGGCCAAATCACCGATTCTCCAAATCAGCATCAAATCTTCAGATTAGGATTTCACCAAATCAAATCGGGACAGCGATCCGAATCAATTAATCGAATCACTGTCCCCAATTTGGGCCGAATCCAAATCGAATACAGCCCGCTTTGCACAACCCTATTCTCACCTCTCAGGGCTGGCACATTTTCATAAGTACTTCACACTTATTTCAATATGGAACTTCAGTTATAACTATTAAGCTCATGTCTACATCTGCATTTCCACTCAACTGACACAGGAACAGTGTGGTCAAGAACATTTATACAAAATGTACTTTTCATGAATGTATCCATTTGTATTCTTATCATGAAGGATAATTTACTTAAAATGACAACTGTATCTCCTAAGAATTTTACAGCATACATTTTCTGTCTCTAGATTATAGTCCATGTCATGTTGCAAATCTCATTTGTAGTTAGTGACTCATCAATTCTCAGGTTAGGGAAATTCAAACAATGTCACGGAATTTGTGAGTGACACCGTAATGAGTCACTTCCCCCTTCAGGCAGTTCCACTTAGCACAGAAATGACGTCACAAAATATAAGAATGTTTTCTAGGTAACAATGTACCTGAATTTTTTGTTTGTTTTCTTTTAACTAGATTAAACCTTGTTGTAATAGCTTATAAAATGAAAAAAAAAGTTGCTCAACTGCTCATAAACAGTGGTCCATATTCTTTTCTCAGTTACACTAGCCAAAAGGTGGGAAGAAACATATCTTTTCATCTGATTTAAAAGGGGAGGGGAAGTTACTGCTTAAGAGCAGGAAGCACCTCGTATGCTTTAGCTGTCAGGTTCAAATGATCCTGTAGCAATACAACTTAGCTATATTGTCCTATATTTGACCCTGGATCAAGCAGAGTTAAATCTGGCATGTATTTGCTATACTTGTATGAAACAAGAAGGCATAACGGCTGCAAAAAAATCTTGTATCCATATCCCTTGATAGCAAGACAACTAGGATGTCTGTCTATATTCCAAATCAAACAATTTAATGGGTTTACACTTAAATTAAGATTTGTCTCAAGAGTTCACTTCAAAATGCTAGTATCTGGTAAATACATACAACCTATAAGTCATCAGAGAAAACTACTGTAGCATGTACTGTTCCAGGTAACTTTAGAGCAGTCACTGTGTATGCACAGGGCTCAGTCATCCTCAGTCAAACAACCATTAAATGCACTTAACTCTTAACAGCCATCTTAAAAGTTGCCTTTTGTCCAAAAACATTTTACCCACTATCTGTAATTGTAACAGCCGGTACCAGCTGAAGGGGAAAAATTAGATAACTGTTGAATACAACAGACAGTCTTTAAAAAGGTAGTTTTCCTGGCTCAAGTTACTGTCACAACTCAAGTGCCATATCTGAAATCAAGCGCTTACTACTCGTTCAGCTACGCTAGAATAATCAACCACTGTTACAAGAAATGTTCCAGTAAAAATGCTAATAAACTTCAAAGACATAAAAGGTAAATGGTTCCCTCTTTCTTACTGTATTTCTTTGATGCTTTCAAAAACATCCTGAACTACATGTGGGGACACAATCCTAGGTTTTTAACTTTGACAGGTCTCATCTAGCCACAGGAGAAAGTTAGTTTGGGACAAGGGTGACAACAACCCTGAAGTGTTTCTGTTCCAAATGACTCCATCAAGCTCTCTACTTGGGTCTCAAGCATCCAGATTATATTTACTCCATAAGGAAAAGGAAACCTCTTTTTATTATACCAGACTCAAAAAAGATAAATCAACTCTTTCCATTCTACTTCCTATTTCTGTTCCCTATTTATTCTACTTATCTTTATAGAGGGTGAGACAGACATTCTTGGGTTGAAATAACTTCTGTGCAAGAAGAGCTAGGTCTAATCTGTGCTTTCCCAGGGACTATACTTTTCAATTCAACAGTGCTACATACTAGGGGTGTGCAAAACGGGCCGTATTTGATTCGGATTCAGCCCAAATCGGGGACAGCAATTCGATTCATTGATTCGGATCACTGCCCCGATTCGATTCAGCTGAATCCAAATCTGAAGATTCAATGCTGATTCGCAGAATCAGCGATTCAGCCACAGACACAGATTTAAATGCTTTTTCTACATAGCTCAAGGTACCAGGCATGGCTTGTGAATGCTACGATGCTGGGGTGGATGGAGCGTCCCACAGGAGGGTGGGGGGTGACCCCCCACATGCTCAGCGGTGAACCCAGAAGTGGACCGGAACTATTTCTGGTCCACTTCCGGGTTCACCACCCAGCACACTGGGGGCCCCTCTGTGCCCTCCCGGCTCGGAGATCGGCTGCAGGGGGATCCCAGGTGCCCTCCCAGACTCAGGAGGCACCAGTCACTGCCAAATTGGGCCAAATCTCCGCAGAATTGAATCAGCAACCGAAGCTTCACACAGCCCTACTACCAGAGCCGACCTGAGCAGGGTAGGGGACCCGGGGCAAATCAGCCTATGCAGGGCCCCGCCCCCGCTCCAATCCCACGGGCCCCGAACTGAAGAAGCTGCGTCAGGAGGGGAGGGGGGTGTAGTAAGTGGCTGGACATGGAGTTGCTGCTCCGCCCAGCTCTGCGCCACCGCTGCTCCGCCCAGCTCCGCGGGTTCCCCAAAGCACAGTGCCCGGGGCGGTCACCCTGATTCGCGCCCCCTCTCCCCCCCAGACAGCCCTGCCTACTACATACCTCCCTGCAGCAGTGACACACATGACCCCGCACATCCGTGTCCATAACCTTTGAAATTAGGTCCTCCAAGGCTTAAGAAAAAAGAGTCTGCCTGGACAGCTAATAGAACCATATACCGTTCTCTGGGTCAGCCATTCTAAATGCCAGTGGGAAGGATACTGGTACCCATGACACCAGAGGCACTTATACCATTAGTGCCTCACATGGGCTTTCAATAAAGCTTGGTGCTATAAGGCTCTCTAAGGCCTTAGGGCCTACTTCTAAATATTGTTAGCAATCATCCCAACTGCTGAAGACAAACTAAAGATGTATTCTTCAAAGTTGAGGTACAGTGTCATCAGACTTGGAGAATTGCATCCATCTACTCTTTGTGACAAATTATTCCCCAAGTGACAGGAAAAGGTACAGAAGATTGAATAAAGAGTATTAAAATCAGATAAGCCAGACAGAAGCTAGATATTACAAAGTCTCAGGCACATTGTTTATTACTTTGAGAACTTAACCTTTATAAATAGGATCCTTTCAAACAGCGCTTCTAGACCATCAAAAATATCAGATTTAGCTTAATCGTGTCTAGAAATAAAGGAAGCTCATTCAATGCACTTCGGAGATCTGTTCTGGGCTGACAAACATGGAGATACTTTCAATCCCACTAGTATCTTTTATTCAAATCTGTGAAAAGCATAATGGAATGCCAAGTTAGAGACAAAAACAACTCAAGTCCATTTTGGAAAGGACCTGCGTATTAAGAAAATCAAACTGCAAACATACTTTGAGAGTTAACAAGATCAGCATGCAAGTCTGGTGATAACGCAATCATAACTGGCCAGCAGATCAACTCAGCAGTATTCATAATTGTAAAATAAAGCCAAATACAGCTTCTCATATCATCTACAGAGAGGCTAAACTTACCTTGCATTTGCTATGTCTAGGGTGAAAAAGAGTCAGGCTTCAAGCACTGGCTAAACTTCCATACGTTCCTCCTGCCTTCATCCTAGGCTTCCTATTAAATGGAGGTGCAAACACCAAGAGTACCTTAGCGGCTGACCTAGCTAGGTTTGCACAGGATAACCCAAAGAGAAAATGAACATACACCAGATGACTGACTGAGGAGTACCAGACTAGTCAGCACTGGCAGGTCTCAAACTGAAAAAAGTAAAAATAATTTTAGAAAGGATGACACAATCATTCTAATCATCATTACCCATCCAGTATAATTTATATAGCTATTGCTCTCATAAAAAGCTATAATTAAAACCAAACCAATTTTACTATAACTTTATAGGATGCTTTACAAAAAGCCTCCTGTTATGAAAGGTACACAAAGAAGCGGCTGAAATTTATAGCGCCATTAAACACATTTTTAAAATCTGTTCTTACCACAATCATTTCAGAAGGCTCCAGTACAATACACTCGCATCCTCGCTTTCCTCCAGACTGCTTGCCAAAACTGGGGGGGGGAGAAAAAAGTGGAAAAATGTTGTATTTTACCTTTTTAAGCATAAAAATAGATTACAGAAGACAAGTAGTTCAATACCCTCAGGAAAGAGACAGTTCATAAAAACTATCATACATAAACATCTGAATCATTTTTCTGGAATTGTCATTAATAATTTTTAATTTAGACAGCATCTCTCATCACAGCCTCTCCAAGCACTTCTACTAAGACCCAGGAAGCCTTTGTGAAACAACTGTGATTGTATTTTTGTCAAGAGGACCACACTGTACTGCGTTCTGCGTCTGTGTTATTTAACAAACACAGCCCTAAAGAATATAAAGAGGGACAAGATGCAAGTGAAAGTACAGAATACCACCAAGGAAAAATGTAGAAGAGCAAGCAATAAAAAACAAAACACAATGCATGAAGTTATATGCACTAACTAAAGGTTAGTTTTTCACTGCAACAGTTAGCTCTTGTTAGACAAGTTACTCCACTCCAGTCAGAGCAGCTCAAGTAAAAATGCTCCCTATAGAAGAAACCTTTTCATTCCATCCAGGAGGAGCACACACCAACTGCTGAAACTTCCTTAGCTGACGAAGGGTTTTTGAACCTGAAAGCTTGCTTAATAACTATTCTCCAACTATTTGGGTTGATCTAATAAAAGATATCAGGTTCACCCAAGGAACCTGGTCTCCCTACAGAAACCAGCACTCAAATTATATAGAATGATTTGACTAGTAGCCCAGTGATGGGATTAGTAGCCAAAGTGATGCTCCTGCTACATTCACACTGCATTATGAGCCTGAGTGCCACCGGTATGGGAGCTCTGACCACACCAACAGTCCAGCTGGCCTGAGCTTAAAGCCTGACTTAACAAGCTAGAGATGCATGAGAGAATGGAAGTGCCAGCTGGGGCAAAACTTGAGTTGCAGCTTGAGTTAAACACAGGTCCTAAAAGTAACAAACTGAGAGGTTTCACAGTTTCATTTTTAAACAGTTAAGTGAACCAGAAATTTGGGTTGGCTGCCTAGCCATTGTATTAGGCAGTTTACAAAATAAAACATTATGTCCAATTTATGGGAGAATAAACTGAGGCTCCGAAAAATAAAGGGTTCAAGTTTTAACGATATTTAGGCACCAAACTCCCAAAGAATACAATAGGAATTAGATGCCTCAGGTAAAACCCATAGATAAATTTAGGGCATACAGCTGAGGCAAGACACCGCTAACTTAAGCATCTGGCCCATTCAAAAATCCAGTAAGGTATTTTGGGTCTTTATACAGGGCATGAAGAGTCCAAAATCTCAGTAGGCAGGGCGAGCAAGTGAAACGAGCGCCAGACAAAACAGTCTAGGGATTTAGACGCTCCCCCTCCTAAGTGAAATCCGATATGCCCATGATTGGTTATGCATTATATTAAACAGTCATTAGGAGGAAAAAAGCCAAAAACAATCCACATCAGATCAAATCCCTCAGAGAATTTGAGTATTACTCTATCTAGTCTCTGGTCCTCAGTGGGGCACAGGCAGACACTGAATGCCTCGCTGCTCAGACTGGGGCAGTCCCAGGAATAACTGTAGGCACCTCGGGAACTTCCAGGTCAAGCTGGAAT